ATAATCAAAATTAAATAAATAAAAATTTTATTTTTTGATTAAAAATTAAAAATTATTTTTGTTAATTACTGTATATAACCAACCAGATTGCCAAATTTTACTAAAAAAAAAGATACTAAAGTATATTATACTGGCTTATCTGAATTAGTAATCTAAGAAATACTATCAGTTTTAACTAATAATTAGTAAAAAACAATAAAAAAAACATTAAAAAAATAAATACTAAGGTTTAGATAAACTTTATAAAAGTATAATAGTTTAATAATTAATCCTAATTACAAGTGCTAATCTAAGTTAAAACAGTATCAAATTAATTATAAGTATAAAATACAGAAGTTTTTGGTAAGTTTAGTACAAAGTCAAAAGTTTTTCATATGAATAAATTGTTTTAAAGATTTTGTAACTATAACATATTTTTGTTGTATCACAGATTAATTCTTGTCTTAAGTGTTAATTAACTTAAATTAAAGTTAAAATTAGAATAAAAGTTAAGTTATAATTTAAATCAATTGATGTTGATTAGTTAATGCTAATCAAACAATTAACATTTAAGATGCCTCAGTTATCACTTAAGTCAAAAATCAATTCAAAACAAAACATCTTTATTAGTATCAATCAGAATCATTAGTAGAGTAGATAAGTGATAAATATAAAAACTAGAGTGTTTAAATAGAGAACCTACAAGCAGGTTCTAAATATGACAACTAGTGTAAAACCTTTAAGTGAACCACTTAAATTAGAAAATAACTAAAGTTATATGAGTGACTAGTTGTACGATCTTTTCATAATTGCCTCTGTAGTTGTACAAACAGCTATTAGCCAAAACATACTATCAATAAAATCCTATATCACAAAGTACTCACCTTAATATTAAAAAAAAAAAAAAAATTACAAATAATTAATTGTTATATGTCTAAAATAATAAGTATATTATGTATAAATGTATAATATAACACTACTAAATAAAGATATGAAGCAAAAGCTTATCTAAATTTTTCTTGTAATATTTGTTATTTCAATAATCATAAATACAATTAATTTGTGATGTGTTGTGATATCAATAAACTTATCATAAATCCAAAAACGATATATATTCGATAAATAAAACCACGTAAATTTAATATCTTGATTTTCATAAACTTTAAACAAACCGGCCAACCGGCTTTTTTTTTAATAAAAATTTTTTAAAAAGCCACCGGTTATTACAGCTATTTTCATAATTTCTGAAACACCCGAAATACTTTTGGTCATTCGGTAAATTATCTAACTCGGACCTTCAGTTCAGAGGCAGCAAAGTAATTTCCGGAATGCTAGATAATTTACCAGATGGCCAAAAAGATATCGGATAACGAGCAAAAAGTTTTTTTTACATGTTTTTCAAATTTTAACCCGCCTAATTTAGAATCTATAATCTACATTCGAAATAATTATCGTTATTCAAAAGGTTTTATTTAGTTACACTAGATCCTATGATCTGATTGGCTTTATTTCCCCCCGGAAAAAAACCATAACGTTAAACCCGGAACATTTTATTCATTTTATTGGTCGATCAATATAGAACGTCAGTTGTCTGACGGGCAAAAAAAACATGTCGATCAATTTCTAATTGATATAAGATCCTCCGCTTCGCTCCGGATAAAAAAAATTATCGAACATTAACGTTAACGTTAACGTCAAAGTCAAAGGTGAGTTCTTTATAATTTTATATTTATAATAAAATATTGATAGTACAATTTTCTATCATTATTTATACAGACGTCGACCTAACGTCTTAATAAACTGCTTAATTTAATTGGCTAGATTATATATCACGCGACTGATATAGTGGATAATCGAATAATCACAAGCGTAACAAACGTTCTTTGATTTGTACCCATCAACAGTCTATTCATCACGATGCTCAGCATTGGGGAACTTCTTGCAAACACACTTTCTGGCGGTAATTTTCTGCAGTAGGAACCTTGTAGCACGTCACCCTTTCAAGCTGATTTAACTCGCAGCAAACTGCGGCTTAGCATCTAGTCTTAACTTTAGACCTTTACTAACTTGCAACATCTTGGTCGGTTTTATAGATCAGCAAACTCGTGAAGATGCGTCCAGGCAACTTGAACAAGCACAACAAACCAATTATGTAAAGTTTTAAATTTATTTTCTGTATTAGCAACATGTATTATCTAGAAAAGGCTTAACGCGTCAATCAGTTTCCGCAAAATAAATTTTGATCATTAGCTAATAGCTGTGTCTCATAATTCCTTTTTTTTTACATTAATATTATTATAAATAAGCCTGCATATGTAGTGATGCTTTGTCAGGAGCTCTCCAACGAGCAGACTGAAACATTTATTCGGAATTCAGCTGGGTTAGCCCTAAAGAATTCGTTAGTGTCATCGGTAAGCACTAATTTTATCAATAAAATTTATAGTTTATAATGGTTTAATATTAATTTAATTTGATGATATTGCAGGAAGCTTCACGAAGAAATGAAATTACACAGAGATGGTTAAATATGGATGAGGCAACAAGACAACAAATTAAGCAAGCGGTGATGATAACGATCTTTCTTGTTGTTCATTTATTCAAGAAATGTATAAAGTCGCGTTACTAAAACATCTGAAAATTGGAATAACAACAGGTGTTGACAACTTTGGGGTCAAGCGACCAAAGAGCTGCTGCTACTGCTGCTCAAGTAAGCGATATTTCAAAAATTTGACATTTGTTTGTACATGTTCTTTGCTTATAAACCGACCGCATTTTAGGTTGTTTCAGCAATTGCAGCCATTGAACTTCCAAGCGGACAATGGACCGATCTAATGAAAAATTTATTAGAGAATGTCACTACGACTGATAATAGTCAACTCAAGATAGCGACATTAACAGCCATTGGCTTTGTTTGTGAATCGATCGTAAGATAATTTACTTTGTATGTTGTGGCCTGTTGAATTGTTTTTTTTATTAATTATTCTTATTTTATTTTATTCAAAGGATTCTGATATCTTGGCAGCTCAATCAGGTGCGATCCTAACCGCTGTTGTATCAGGCGCTAGAAAAGAAGAACCAAAGTGTGTATATTATTACATGAACTTGTCTTGACTTTGTAGGCTCAATTAACGATTGTACCTTAATTCTAATATAAAGTCAGGAAGTTAGAAAAGCAGCAATTGATGCACTATATAACTCATTAGAATTCATTAGGGAGAATTTTGATAGAGAGGTGACTAAATCATTTTTCGTTATCACCAGTTTATTATTATAAACTCAAATTTTCTTTTCAATATATTCTTTAAGGGTGAGCGTAATTATATTATGCAAGTTGTGTGCGAAGCCACGCAAAGTGCCGATGTCAATGTTCAGGTTGCTGCCTTTGAATGTTTGGTCAGAATCATGCAAATATATTATGATAAAATGCGTTTTTACATGGAGAAGGCATTGTTTGGTGTAAGAATACTAGAAAAATTTTGGTTGATTTTTATATCAGTATAAATTCCCTTACTAATCATTTGCTAAGAGTATATTATTCGTTTATTTTAGCTAACTGTCCTTGGAATGAAGCATGAAGATGAGAGAGTAGCTTTGCAGGCTGTCGAATTTTGGTCTACAGTATGTGATGAAGAGCTAGAATTAATGGGGGAAGCTGCAGAGGTACGTATATGAGAATACCCATAGCAAAAGGGGATGGGACTATATAATATATAGCCCCATCCCCCTTTTGCTCTAGGTGTCCCCATATGTTATTGACTTTCATTGTTAGGAAAAATATTAAAGTTTAATGAAACAAATAGGCGCAGGAAACAGGTGAACAGCCTGATCGTATAAGTCATAATTTTGCCAAAGCTGCCTTGCCCGAAATATTGCCCGTTTTGCTCTGGCTTCTCACCAAACAAGTATGCGATTATATTATATATATCTATTTAACATTTCCCTGGGGATTTGTCTAATTGACAAATTCAACCCTTACATAGGAAGAAGAAGCAGACGAAGATGACTGGAACGTCTCAATGGCTGCGGGTACTTGCTTGGCTCTTTTAGCTCAATGTGTTGAAGATGCCGTTGTAGCACCAGTGATTCCTTTCGTAGAAAATCATATTCGTAATAATGATTGGAGATTCCGAGAAGCAGCTGTTATGGCTTTCGGATCAATTTTAGAGGGTCCTGAACATAAATTACTTGCAAATTTGGTGAACCAAGCTTTACCGGTTTTGATTGATATGATGAGAGATCCATCTCCTCAAGTTAAAGACACAACAGCATGGACTCTTGGACGTGTTTCCGAACTTTTAATAGAATGTATCAAACCCGACGTTCACCTTCATCCTCTTATTACCGCATTGGTTTATGGCTTAAAGGATTCTCCACGTATTGTGTCCAATTGTTGTTGGGTAAGAGATTTTATTTATTTTTTGAGGTTGTAATTTATGCCAAATTTAATTAAGTTTATTATTATATTTATCATGTAGGCTCTAATGAGTTTGTCTGATCAATTCGGCAGCAAGGAAACAGCCCAGGCGTCATATCATTTGTCCGCTTACTTTGAGGGAATTATCACTGCGCTATTGGAAACCACAGAGAGGTATTTATAAGTATCTTTGTATATCATGATTTTAATATTCCCATTTATACACACTCCCTGATAAATCCATCCTATTTTGTGTTTGTAAATTTGTCGATTTTGCGTGTTATTTTCATTAAGGTCAACCAATGAATCTAACTCGCGAACATCGGCTTATGAGTGCATTTCCATTCTGGTGCAAGGGGCCGCATTGGTAAATATATACAACAAAAGTTGTTGCGTGTTCACTTTGCGCCGTAGTTTTCATTCATAAAAATAAGGAATACACAATATTGCTACAGCAGATAACGTAGTCTCAGTTGACAGTACTCCATTTTATTATTTACTCGGCGACAATAAAATTTCACAATTCTTTTCAATGTTTAAGTAATTTTTAATTGCACTAACTTTTAAACTTTGTACTTCTAGGACTGTTTTCCAACTATCCAAAAATTGACATTTACTATACTTGAAAGGCTTGATGCTACCATTTCCGCGCAGGTAAAGTATTATATATTGACTATTGTTATTTTAAAATCAAGGAAAATGCTAATGTCATTTATTTATTATAGAATCAAATAGTTGGTAGTGATGAGCGCCTTGCGCATTCTGAGTTACAGTCAAACCTATGCAGTGTTTCAACGGTATGTTGACGATCTAGCAGGTTCTTGTAGCTTATTATGGTATTTATTAATTTCATTCTTTTACATTTTTTTTTCATAGAGTATTATTCGTAAACTCAGAACCGAGGTGGTACCATTTGCAGACCGAATAATGACAACATTGTTATCTTTGTTTCAAACTGCGACAAAACATTCCACCACGCTGGAGGATGGATTTCTTGCTGTAGGAGCTGTTACTACAGGTATCTTTCATCTTTTTGTTCACAAATTTCATTATATTTACTAATATTGTACAATTTTTGTTTTAATTACAGCTGTGGAAGCAGACTTCCTTAGGTATCTTGAGGCGTTTGCACCTTTCCTTTATGGTGCACTATCAAACCATGAAGAATATCAGCTTTGTTCAATTGCCGTTGGACTTATCGGAGATATATGTCGTGCGCTCCAAGAACAATCATTACCCTACTGCGATACTTTTATGAATGTTCTACTGCAAAACCTTCAGGTTAGTCAAAAAATATTTGTATTTATCGAGTGATTTCCTTATATTAGTAATGACCTTATTTATTTTGGATTGTAGAGTCCCGTGTTAAATAGGAACGTCAAACCCGCAATTCTTTCATGCTTTGGTGATATTGCTCTCGCCATAGGCGGTAGATTCGAAGTATACTTGGAAATAGTAATGCTGGTGCTCTTACAAGCCAGCAATATGCGTGCTGATGGTGTAAATGTGATGGTATTCAGAAATTCAATTCATCCACTTCTTTCTTTAGTTTATTTAATTAACTTTTATTCTTTTTGTAGACTAATTATGACATGATAGATTACGTCATTGCATTAAGAGAGGGAATACTGGAAGCATATGTTGGCATTGTACAAGGCCTAAAGTCTGGTGAAAAAGGTTAGCGTGTTGGTATGAAGATTATTATGTTGCATAAATGTTTTCTACTGACAAATTTGTCGTTTATAGCGGATCTGCTTATGCGATATATTGATCAAATATTCAATTTCATGAACATGACTTGGAGTGATCATGAAAAGACTGAAATTATCATTCGAAGCATGATTGGCCTAATTGGGTTTGTGATTAACTAACTCTAAAAGCTTTTTTTATGAATATAAGCTTAAGTTGGCTTATTTTTTAGTGATTTGGCGGAAGCATTCCCAAATGGTCAGATTAAACAATGGTTCCAGTACGATTGTGTTACGCAGGTGTTAAGAGAAGGTAGAAACAATCGTAATTTACCTAACGGAACAAGAGAGGTCACTCGATGGGCTAAAGAGGTGGGATTGGTGGAAGTTACTGCTATTTAAATTTAAATAATGAATTAAATATAGTTGACATCAATTTTGTATTTTTTAGATGGTCAAGCGAGCAACACAATAAGTCCTCCTTGGTTATAAGTATGTACATTTACATCCCTGTCCATACCAATTCACCTTCCTGTCACCACGGAAGTATATCCCTGCAAAACATTCGGGTCGATTCCATCACTGCTTTCTCGCATGGTGAACAATGATGATCCAAAACATACTTCTAATGTTCCTCTGTGATTTTCATTCCAACCCATTTTCAAACCCATACAATCCCCTTTTTATTAACCCCTTTTAGAACATTGTTTCATTCAACCCATTTCATTAAGTCGTATTAGTATTAGGTTGTCCTTTTTTTTATTTCCCCTTTATTGATTCGTTGTACCCATCTATTCATTATTTGTTTGTTTTTTTTTTTTTTTTTAACATTGCTTATTGTATTTCCTTGAGAATAAAAAATTCACAGCAATCAAAATCGCCGTTTTTTTTTCTTTTTTTCCTTTTTTTTTTTTTTTTAACAAAAATTTTATCACCTCTATTTATTAAAGTTCTTTTTGTAATGAATTATGATCTATTTACGAACCTTTCTTTTATCGTCTAAATCGATTGGCTTATTTGATAAATATTTACCTTTGATTAACTCTTTACATGTTATTGAAATAATTATAGTTGTTGTAGATTGTATTGTTAATCTATTTGATACATATTATATTTTTTTGGCAACCTGGTTTTAATATCTTTTATATTTTAGGCAATGTTATGTTAGCACATTTATTTTAGCGTTATTACCGTTGTAAAGGTTTGTAAGCAATTATAAGCAGAACGTAAGGTTTGATAATTTTATACAATTTATAATAAATTGATAAAATATATTAAATATTTAACATTTATTAAATTACAATGATAAATTTGCTATTTTTATCATGGGTAGATTATAGATAGAATTTAGATTAAAGTTTGGTAATGTTAATTATCCGACAAATTTCTGCGATAGTGCTTGCCAAATTCGGGGAACTTCTAATGTTATGTAAGCTTATATTAATTTTAACTAAATGAAAGTTAGGATTAGTTTTGGAACCAAGGCAGATATTGTATTTTAAGTAAAATTCCCTTTCTGATATTTTGTAAATGTTTCTAGGTAGGTTTATATTTTGGGCGATTTTTTAAGCTTTTTACAATTGAATTATAATCGTAAACTGCTTTAGATTTTCATTTATAATAATATATACGTAGTATTTGTATTTAATATTGCAAGCCAATTAGAAATTAGTTGGTTAATTTTTAACTAAGTATAAAATTAATTTTAATTGATGGCAATTGCTAATTTTCATTGTATTATAAAAACTTACTAGCTAGAGAGTACTAATAAAAATGTTTAGAACTTTCAAAATCTTATGTTAACTAAAATCAAAGCTTTAATATTTAAGTTTAAGCTTTGTATTTTAACTTCAACTTTTAATAAAAATTAAAAAGATATTCTCTAGTTAATTGTAGTAAATTTTTTTTTGTTAACTAGTTTTTTTAAAGTTAGGATTTTTAGTTTTAAGATACAAAAGTTTTAAAAGATTTTTTTTATTAGAAATTACAATTAGTTATATATTTTTAGTATTTAATTTAAATAGTTTTTTTATAATTTTGTATTATAAGTTATTTTTATTTATTTTTTTTTTAAGATTGCTTTTATCTTTATTAATAATTTGTATTAGGTAATTACTATGGGTTAACACAGGTTAAAGCCAGTTTTTACAAATTTTTCAAAAAATAAAACTTTGACTATAAACAAAAATTATATAATTTTTATCTAATTATCTGCAATTTAAACTTACTAAAGTGATTTAAACTTATCTGGATTTGGTAATTTAAAATATTATTAGTTGAAATACTATATTTAATTCATTTAAATATTTATATAAATACTTTTTATTAGTTTTGTCTAAGGATAAGTAAATAATAGTATTATATTGTTGATTTGAAAGTTCATAGTCACAACTAAATATAAATGTTTGTCAAGTACATTGTAAAGTTAGGTTAGTAAATAAATTGAAATATTATTATATTGTTGGGATCGGAGCCCAAAATATTAACAAACTTATGTTCTCTTGATTATATCATGTGCCATTGTGCTTCAAATAAAATGAATTCAGTAAGACGAATTGAATGTTATTAAAATTTTTCGATTCTGATCTGTGTATCGCAGTATAATAGGAGGAACCGTCGATGTTACACGACTGATCCTTCATTCCATTTTTATTATAATAAAATGGTGTGGGATTATAATCATAACATGTACTAGCGGTATTGTAAAATAATGTTGCACACCGGGTGAAGGATCAGTCGTGTAACATCGGCGGTTCCTCCTGTTATCGCAGTATTTCATCAAAAAACACAAGTGCGTCATATTATCCACCTTATGTATATACAACACAAATTTGAAAACCCGATGCGTCATCAATAATATACTACGTACAATTTACAGAGGGGCATTTTCTCATGGCGGCGCTCAAATGGTATAAGAACCATTAATAGACAAAGCGTTGTCTATAATATAACTTGATTCATCACCAGAAACACAAACACATGAGTCGGCCAATCACATGAAGCAGATCAGAAAAGAATTTAAATCAGAAAGACAAAATATATTGAGATATGCATATATTCCAAGGTCATGTATAACTTTTCTAAAACATTTTAAAAACCCCACTTTCAGATTTGTTTAAATAATAAACAATAAATTTTTATTTGTTTTAAGAAATTATTAACAAATTTGATGTCTTATGTTGCCCATACTGTACGAACTTGGTATGAAAAGCCCGTACGTACGTAGTAATTTTACAAATCTTACTCAAAGTCAGCTGACAATTACTGCGGAACCGATTAACATCCCTAATTAACATTCATTATTACGCATCTATTTAGTAAAATTTATTGTTTTTTTGTAATTAGTTAATCATCATCGTTTAAAAAGTATTCTTCAATGCTTTTTTTTAGATTTTCGCGTCCACTTCTTTTCTGAACGTCTTCACTCACATAAGGTGGCAATGTAATACTATTTATATCTCGCATGTTGATTCGACATGCATAACATAAGAAATCTGTCAGACTACAAATATTGAGATCTTCAGATGTACAGCAGTCTGAAGAGCAACACGTAGCAGCACCTGGGCAAGTGCTTGAACTAATAACAGAATTTTCAGAAATTGAATTTTGAATCTTAACAATGGTAGATGACGAAGGGGTTGTCATTACAGTAATTCTGCTCTGCCAAATTTTGTCATCCTTTTGATATGGCCTATATAAACAAGTACATTGTTAGAGAAAGAAAAATAAGAGTGACGTAACTTTATGCAATTTAAAGATCAAATTAGGTTCACTAACATCAAGCAAATAATACAATGATTATCTGAATCAATAAATTCAGGTGGTGTTAATTTTGCAGCAGTTCTAGAAATAGTGCTCACAGTTGATGGAAAATCACGTTCCAATTTAACAATAAACTCTAATGTGTATAAAACAAACTTAAAGTTATTTTTGTTACAATTTATTTGAATCGAAGAACCGAGAATTTTACCTTCAGTTAATCGATCTATACTTGATTTGGGCGGCATCATGGATGTTAAAGAGCTTATAATTGTTGCCTCAAATCCTTGAAATTTATTGTATATACCGATTTCTTTAGACAGCATATCTTTCATTGGTCTCACGATTGTTACATCTATAGGAAATATATATAGCTAATTAAAATTTTTTTAAATACAAGTTTAATAGTCAGTCCCCCTAAATACAATACACGTCCTATGAAAAGCCTCTTTAAATGCATGTCACCACTTGGGCTCAACCAATATAGCAGACTTTTATTTCTCTAAATACAATTCCATAGCAGTGCACTTAGAGAGATCTGACTGTATATAATATTTACCTCCAAACGAAGAATTTAATCCTGATGTTTCCAAAGGCAGGCTAAATCCACGTCCTTTACTTGTAAAAGATATGATCTTTATAGATAATCTTGTTGAACAGTCGCCCAACAACAATTTTGTACATCTGATAAATCATGAAAATAATATATGATTAAGTTTGTATTAAATAAAAGGAAATTGATATTTCCACATCCATTTTTGATATTGCCACACCCCCTGTAAATAAAAATAAATACAGATTATTAGGGTTTTGGTGAGGGTTTAGAGTTAGCAGGGGTGTGGCAATATCAATTCCCTAAATAAAAATATGAACAAAAATTGTAAATACCCATTCTTTCGTGCAGTATTTATTAGTAAACATTGTTTAAGATGCCATACAAGGTCTTCTTTAGCGGTAAATTTGGATACACCATCAAGTAATGATTGTAATTTTTTTTTTGTAGAAGTTTCTTGCTGACATATTTTAGCATTAAGCTCTATTCAGGTATAACCAAAGTGTTAATCCAGGTTGATCAAATAATAAAGAAAAAAGTGTACATACCATCAATATCTTGCTGCTTTGACTTATCAAAAGTGACTTCAAGAACTTTATTATAAGAACCATTAGAAGTGTAATCTGGTGAATATATATCATCTATGTGTAATCCAATAAACGAATAATTATAATTTTGAGCAACTTGTTCAGCTTGACTTAAAACCGCATCCTTGAATTAATAAAAAAAAAATCAATAATTTATCCCCTTTAAACATTGCAACTTATACAAAGAGAAAAGACACACATGGTCATCGCTGTCATATAAACCGAAAATTGAGCTTTCATCAATGTGACAAACCAAAACTTCAGAGAATAATGGTTTCTTAGATATTTCATTTGGTAAAACTTCGTTATAATCGCTTAGCAGTTGAAGCATGGCTCTAGTCGTGAACAGTTTATATGTGATCAGTATACTGGTTATACGGACAGCCTTGTAGAAATAAATTGTTGATTAAATTGAAATATTATTTACCTGGATGAAGGGCCACCAGAAAATCCAACCATAACTTTTTCACCTTTGGAATTTATAGAACGCAATTTGTCCATATTTTTACGAAATTTGCCAACAAATGCATGTTGGAAACATTGCCTTTTGTCAATTGTGCGAATGTTTCATTTTTGTGTTTTAAGGAGTAATGAATGTGGATTCTAATAGACCTTACTTGCAATATGTAGAATGCCGAATTAAAATTGTTGGAGTTGACTTGCATTTAATACATTTTTTAGCAATGGATTTAATCTTGACTATTGTAAACGAAATATCTCGTTAAACTTTGTGAAATATGAGGAATGTGAGAAGTTAATTTTGAATTGAACTAACCATCGACTTCGTTTGGCGCGTCCTCGATACTACACATGGCTACGTAAAAAGAAATTACCGACTGCGACTCTACGTAATGAAAATTTTTATCAGTTATTGAGGACGGTCTATAGGCATGCAAGTCTAATTACAAACATAGTGCAGGTGGTATAGTGATGATCATTAATTCGATTTTTTATAGTAAACGTTTTTAAGATCTGCACGCAATATTAAAGACCATAGGAAAATCGCCTTCTTTCGCTTTTAATTCCTCCCGTAATATCTAACATTTTTTAATTATGTAAACGTAAAATGCTTAATAAAAGGCGTCTTTACATTGTAACAACGTTAGAATTCTATTTTACTTATTATGAACGTCTTTAATTTGATGTTGAATTACTGAATTTAATCTACTAAATAAAATCAGTTTATGTATAAGATAACGATCAAGAATCAAAAAATTTACCGTTACAATTTTAATTAAAAAATCTATTTATTGCACAGTATGACTTATTAAGTTTGGTTTTTTGTTACGCCGCCAGGAGAGAAAGCTGCTAAGAATTTCATAAGTTTTTTTTTCTTTAGAAACCATATTTCTTTCTAATTGCTTGTTAATTTCAGAATCCTTAGCATTTTGTCAAACATCTTGTAACATGGTTTGAGAAATTCCCTGTAATCCACCATCCAGGCCCAAGAGTTGAATACGTGATTCCTGTAATTGAGCATTCATTTTTGGGTGAACTTTCATGTCAAAGCGATTGAACAACTCTTCTATTTGCTGTTAATGTACCACAATACTTCATATATAAAATTTAATAAATTCATATATAAGAGGAAACTTTGCTGGTTCTGCTATATCAGAATTAACAAATGCTTCAAATTCTTCAAAAAAATTGCACTATGCAAGTGTTTCTAATAGTTCTAATGTAGTTGAATGTCTATTAAATAGGTTTTCTTTTAAAAGTTTAACATAAAAGATTTTTTCACAAGTAGGAATTTTCAAAAAACTTTTTTAAAAATATAGTTAAAAAAATGTGAGCAAATGCAGGATCATTTACATTACCTAAATGGCAAATGCATAGATGTAAATGAATCCAGGTTTTCATTCATTTGATAAATCTATTTAATGCATTTTCTATTTTAGTACATAATAATATATGAAAATTTTTAAAATCTGTTACATTCAATTTATATTCAATATTAGCTAATTCATTATTGAATAATTCATAAATATTTTTAAACAATACTAAAGCTTTTGAATTCATAGCATTATTTTATTTAGTATTTCATATACATGTTTATTTGATAGAAGAGTGTTTATATTATTTGATTGGTAAATTTGTAAAATCAGGTTATGTTCAATCAGAAAATTATAAGCAGACTCATAAAATTTCTAATCAAATTTAATGAGACATTGTATTTGAAAGTTAAATAGCTTATCTGTAAATTATATAAGAAATAATTGTCACTTATTTAAGTATAATTTTAAAACATCTTTGATATTTTTGAGTTGTTCAATAAAGAAATATGTAAAACAGATATGAATTTTATATCTATTAAGGTATTGTTTGGCAGTTTTAAGTTCATATAACCATTATTGATAAACAGGCTGTTAATATTAGCACATTTTTAAATTAAACACAATTTTATAGAATTTTTTTAATATTTTAAATTTAATAGACTGTCTTTATCTAAAATATTATATTTGTTATAAAGATAGAAAACAAGATTAAGTAAATTATATAAATGTTTTTTTAATAATAATTTTTTGACAGAATCTAATTTTTCAAATACTGTATTTTCAAAATGTGTTAGAGCAATATCCAAAATAATTTAGATACAACTATATTATTAACTTTTAAGAACATATAAGCTATATTATCTGTTAACCAAAAATAACATTTTTAGAAAGTAATTCTATTTTGTTAATATGCTTTAAGTACTGTAATAAAAACTGTTTTGAAATTATAATTTATTAAGTCTTTTGTTTTATTATAGTTTTTTTTAAAATAATTTCAATATGAAATACAAATAATTAATACTTTAGTTTTTCTTCATATGCTTTTATCAACTATAACATTATAATTAAAAAATCTAGAAGTTGCAATAGAATAATTTTAAATAAATGATAAACTAATTATTTCATTATTTTATTGTATTAAAGTTTTTGTTATTATCTAATGCTTTGATATTTTCTTAATTAAGAATTAATAAATAGCTTTAGTGTATCTTATTGTTATATATATTGAGATTTATTTTATTGTATTAATATTAGTAACTAATTTGCATTGTATTCATTGTTATTAAATTTAATGAATTTAGTAATTATTTGTTAAAATTAAATTGGATGAATTTTTTTTAATTTACAAATAGAAGTCTAAATTGTTAAAATTTGTTTTTGTTTAAATTGTTTGATTCTTACTATTTGTACAAAAAGTAAGTAAGTAATAAAGAATAATTTATTTTTTTAAATACTAATTCTTTTATCTTAAATTTTTATTTTTTAGTTTTAATGTATTAATAATAATATTATAATTATTCTTATAAAGACTAATATTTATAAACTTATTTGCTTTCTTTTGTAAATATATAAAAACTATTTCTTTTTTATAATTTTCTTGAGAGTATATTATTGTTTAAAAAAGTGTAATGTATTATAAAGTTAAAGATCAGATAAATCAAAATATGTATAAGCATTTTATTATGCTTTCAATTAAAGATTAAAATCAGTTTAGTTAACTAAATATTTTATATAATAAACTATTATGTTTAGTTGACTAAACTGATTCTAATTACTATTTTGTATAAATACAAGTATTTATTTTTTGAAATTCAAATATTTTTTTTATTATTTAAATAAAACCATCATTATTTAATTTTTCAAATATTAAAATTAGATGATTAAATAATTCTTCTTATTATTTATATTCTTGTAAAATTTTTATACTTTATAGTTATTTATTTTGTGAGTTTAACTAACCCATTAAGTATATATTAAAGTAACATGTTACAATATATGTAAGTTTTAGAAAGATAGAAAATAATTTATTATTTTAAATTAAAACTTGTGATATATAATAGTTTTATTATATTTGTGATTAAAATTTGAAAAAGATTATTATGTTTAGAACTTAGATGGATTATATTTAGAATCTAGTATGTTTTTAAAAATTTTATATAAATAGTCCAGCTAAAAGATATAATAGTTTTGATAATTTAGCATTATTGGTTTAATCAAAGCTGAGTTATGATATATTAAAGGTTACAAGTATAATATTTTTTAATTAGATATATTTATTTATTAGATATAAGCAATTAATTCTCTATTGTAATGAACTCATATCTTTTTAAATGTTTTGCAACTTATTAAAATTCAATAATTAGAACAAAAAATCACTATTATAAGATTAATAATTATAAACTACAATTATTTTCTTTATATAGTCATCTTCTATATAATTACATTATATGTAATTATATTTATATTTAGCTAAGCTATGATTTAATTTAAAAAAATAACTTTTATATAAGTACAACTTCTTTATAAACACATCTTTTAAAAAAATTACTATATAGCCAACTGTATAATTATATAAAAGAACAACTGTATATATATTTTAGAATGCATTTTATTTTACTAAAAATAATAACTATATAAATAAATATAGAAAATTAATTATTACTCTTCAATTTTGTTATAATATATTTTTATTATTTTTTTAATATTAATAGTAAGGCCATTGCTTTATTTTTATTAAATATTTAATTTGTAAATTATTTTTAAAGAGAACAAAAAATGATAATCCTTATAATAAACAAAATAAAAAATTTATATATTTTTTCTATAGTACAAGAATAGAGCTTGCTTATATATAAAAGTATTTTTTTTTATTAAGTAATTCTTTCTTGTTACTTAATTAAAAGTTATAGAGCTAAATCTTATGATTCTAATAGTAATAAAATTATCAAAATTGGTTAAATAGATCATATGATATGAGTATTTTTTAATCATTTATTATAGAGTTTTTTTTTAAGAATTGAAGCATATAGCATTCCACTTATTATATAAGGTAACTAGTCACATGTTCACTAATTTTTACTATAAAATTTGTATCCTTTAACTATGTATTATTAATTAATTAAGATTTTATATAAAGTATAATTTTGTTTTTAAAATATTATAAAAAGAATAAAAGTTCAGACTAATTTATCTGTAATTTAAACTAGTATATTTATATAATAAAATTTTTTTTTTTTTAATATTAAAGTTCCTATCTTTAAAATATAATATTTTTATTCAAGTATATAGGACATGAGTTGCCTCCAGAGACTTCTTTACATTGGAGATTACAACTAGCTATATATATATTTTTGGTACCTAATTTAAATAGTCTACTTATACATTGCTATATAAGTTCTATATTAGATGTCATATCTGCAAGCCAACTAAAGGTCTTGCTTATTTAAACTCTCTGCATATGCAATTTTCTTATATTATAAGAACATCTTTAAGACTACATCTATCCAAGTTTCTGATACTGATCAGTACTCTTAGAACTACTTTATTTTTAACAAAAAACTTACTAAAGTCTTTATTTTCTATATATACTGACCTAGTTTTATGCAACATATTATAGTTACTTAACATTTGCAGTTATAGAAGTTATTTGTTTAACTGCTATGTTATATTATTTTTATCTTTATAAAGTTTACTAGAACCTTAGTATATATTTTCTTAGTATCATTT